GAACTCACTTGGTAGCCCAGGCTGGCCTCGCACTCACAGAGATCCGCCTGCCTCTGCCTCCCAAGTGCTGGGATTAAAGGCGTGCGCCACCACCACCCAGCTTGACTTTAAATTTTTTGATTACTGATGAATGAGTGATAGCTGCTGAGAGACACTAAATTATCAAGGCTGCTGGATTAAACCAACCTATATATTTTAAAAGAGTCTTGACTCCAAAATGGAAGTCAAAAGATATGTTGCTTTGGGGAAGAGGTTATACTTTTATTTCCACAGAAAACAAAAGGCTGTGGATCTGTTCAAGGTTGAAGAAGATCAGGTTTGATTGAGGAAGATCCTCTGAAAATCCTGGCTACAGACATTTAAAAAAAAAAAACAACAAAAAACTAAAAGAACTACAGAACAGGTGATGTATATTTTACCTACTCAAATATAAAACAAACAAAAATCTTTGGCAGACTTGTGTACAATGCACAGTCTATACTTATATTAATGCAGATATGTATGTTACCTTTAAAAGTTTATGTATTTTCAGAGTAAGGGGACCAGACACCAATAAAAATGAATGGTCTAAGTGATCCAACATCTCAGGGTGCCTCTGTTGCAGTTTCCTCAAGAGGTCTGCATCCAGAACAGCTTCAAGGCTGCTGGAAATGGTCCATCCTCACAGACTACTATAGCCAGGACTTAACCATTATCCTGATTTCTCAGGGTCCCCCAAAGATGCTAGCACCTCTAGCCAACAGGAAGCAGTCTAGAGAAAGTAACATCTACATTCCCAAGAGATGGGTTATGGATGTCTGTCATCATTTAGGGAATGTTGGTTACAAGTTGTTATTGGTCATGGTCAGAAAAAAAAAAAGCTAAACAAAAGAGTTAAGATTCAAGGATCTCCTTCTGAAGGAAAAAAGGAAGATATAATATAGAAATGAGAGAGAAGGGTTGATTATTGAATATTCTTTAATCAAAAAAGCAACTATTAATCTCAAAATATTTTACACTGGTATGGATTTTGGTTTATTGATATAAATGTAAAGTTATTTTTGTTATACTATATGTATGTTTCTACTCTTATTTGGGGTATTGTGCTTATGCAGCTCACTTAAAAATTTATTGTATAATTAAGAGATACAGGTTAGTAGTTAGTCATCTATAATAATCAAACCTGTAGTTATATTAGGTATGTTTTCAAGGTTAAACAGATATATGTAGATAGATAGATGGTCTTCTTCAAATACTTCAGATACTTACAGAATATGGAATTTAAGATGTTTAGTAACCTGAGGATTTTCATGACAGTGAAACATGTCTGCTCCTCACAGCACCAATCTACTTCAGAGAAGATTATGAGCATCGAAGAACCTCCGTATGGAGTTTGGCAAACTTTCTTTGTGGCAAAAGCTAGCCATTTGGGCAAGAAACTGCCCTTGCTTCAACTGTTGACAGTATGCTGTCCAAACTGGACAAATAGAATACAAAAGAAAGCGACTGCTGAACTTTATCAAGACAAGGTAGGATAGTCCTTCAAAATTTCCTGCTTCTCAGAAAAGTCTGTCACATTCTAGGCCTGTAAGTTGAAGATGGATACCCCAACATTGTAGAGGAAATTTGGGTGACTGTCAAGGCAGCCAGATGTCCCTGTCATTAGGTAAAATTATTTCCTTCTGGGGTCTTTGATGGAGTTAAAGACTAAATAGTTAAACTTATAGTTTTCCTTAGTTATGATAAAAAGTAAATTAGGTATACAACTTTAGATTCACAAAGATACGATATATAATATAGTATTTTCTCTAAATCTGCCAAATACAAATGGACTGGATATTGTAACTATAATTCTTACTTGATAACTGGTTTTATTGTATATAGTTTTACTATGTTAAAGTTAAAACCTTCCTTTTCATAATCA